TATTAAATTGCGGATCATTTAGCAAAGTGCAAAATGAGGCTGGTTTTAAACTTTGACAATTATTGTGTTAGAAGCTATTGCATACATAAGTTTGTCAAGAAAGTGTTTTACGCTCTCTTCTTCCCCAATTAAAATTACATTAGTTTGTTTTTAATGTCTATATATAGTTTGGACTATTTTAGCTATTGAACAAAAAAGAAAACAAAAGGATTCAAGAACTAAGTACGCTATCAGGAAATCATTTTTGCGAAATATAGCCTTTCGTTTGTGGTATTTTCATATTTCTAGTAAAATCTAGTGTTATATTAAGGCAAATCAAGCACAAAACTTGCTAAAATCATGCCATATTTATTGCTTAATTAATGAAATATATTTCTTGAAAAGATCAAGCAAGATTCATGACCAAATCCATCTGATTTCGCAAAGTCGATTAGCTCAAGTGGAATATAACCAAATGTCTATTTTAAAGACCTCCAATAGAAAAGACCTCCATATATTTAAGATTACAATACTGTAAATATTAAAAAACAAAACTAATATTGAGAATCTCCAATGCTCATCCCCTAATCAATAATGAGGATATTCATCAGGAGCTTGGTGTTTCTGACATCACATATTATTATCACTTTTTAATCTACTTGACTTCATCCGTTAGACCTCCCAACTGGACTATTAAACTAGCTACCTATCCTCTCTTCTTCCTATTAATTCTACATATATTTAAATATAAATATTTAAAACGCCAATTCTTCCACACTAATTTTTTTAGGGCACAAGAAATATTCTTTCCATTTAGTCATTTTACAAGCTTGTTTAACCTTGCTAACTTTCGTTATATGTTAAACAATTCGCAAAGTTACTGTTAGGAGGTTCACTGACGTGAATAGCAATTAACCTTATCTTTGTTTTCCATTTATAAATTAATAAAAGTGTTTTCCTCAAAAATCAATCTTATTACATACACCATCTTTCACGTATATATATGGATTTTTTTAATTAGAGTTACATTTCTTAGCTTCTTGTCTGTTGATTAGATTATATTTAATTGTATTTCCTTTTAAATACGTTTTATTTTTTGAATGCTGTCTTATCCCTAATGCAGAAAGCATTATCGTCAATATTTCAGGGTGGCCCCGATGGTTGAAAAATAAAAACTTCTATTTGTAAATTTAATAATTTAAAACAAACACCGCAATAAATCTTTGAAGCACTCGTCGTCACTATTATTTTCATTCCAAATATGTGAAAACATAAAATTTTTTTTATTTTTAACGCAAGCCGACTTATGATTTTATCACAGATCCCCACCCGATATATCAATATTGCTGATTTTTGATAACGTATGCATATTGATTAATTATCGGTTAATCCTTTCATACAAAATCAACAAAGATTTTGCTTGATATACACAAAGTTATGATTTTACCAATTCTCTTTTTCTTCTTCGTATGGTTACACAAAACATATAATATTTTAAAAGTTATTATTCCGCTATAAACAAAATTTCTAACAATTTTTTGAAATATATTTTACATATGAAAACAGAGGTTGGAGTTCGAATTTTTAAAACCACCTCTAAATGATCACATGATATATGGACTCCTTCAGTTTCCGGACTCTCACCATTTGGGCTTGACGTTAATTAATTAATAATCACCAATCAGTAACACATCGTACTGCGAATTTCATTTCCTGCGAAAATGTGTTAGCAAAGTTCAAAAGGTCAATGCTGTGATATCCTTGCCCACATTTTTTGAAGATCAGTGCTCGCGCAATTCATATTTTGTTTCATGTTTTTCTCACTAGATCACAAAACTAAATAGCTCCAGTTGTAGTAGCTCCAGTCAGGCTTAAATCAATGACAGACTAAGGTTTAACGTATAGGGTATAAAATGTTTATAATGTAGACGAAAGTTTCATAATGGGGTCTTGTTGACAGATGTCCATCGCTCTCACTAAGGACTTGTTATCGAAAATTGTTGCCCAAAATGTTTCACTATGAATCGCAAATGATTTCTAAATGTCTCATTACATTCCTAAATCGATGGTTTTTGGCTTAAAAGAAATTTTTGCGCATTCCACTGGTATGAAACAATTATAACATCTCTTTAGTTGCTGTTCCGCGCTGATACGATCGCTCTAACCTAACCAATCAGCAGCCAATCATCAAGCCCATAAGCAGCATTTTGTGATATCACACCTTCCATAATGGCATCTTGAATGAGTGTGTGGGTGTGGGTGAATGTGTGTGAGTGTAGGAATATAAAAGAGTGAGCGCAGCATCAATTTGCCTCTATTAGAAACTAATTTCCGGTTGTAATTGAGTCGGGCGACAGGTTGAAAGGCCCCACCTGCTCGTTCCGTTATGCAAATTAATGAATGTGTTTACTGTTTCACGCCCCGGCCTGCAAAGTGTTTTCAAAATGTCTAGATAGTAGTGACAGCAGTAGGGTAATGGATCAGGTATGCGTCCTGTGTTAACATTTTTTAAATTGCTAATTATATGACAGAGACGTCTGAGTCTGTGTGTGTTTCCAAAATCACTTTCTAGCTAGTTGACAACTTAAAGATTTTGGAGAAGACACTCGTTCTTTAATATCGATGTCACAAACGCAAAATTGTTGCCTTCCTATCCGTAAAATGCCGTTTTCAATACGGCAATAATTAAAGTACACGGCAATTATATGGCAGGCGGCAGACCGATATTTATATATTCAGATAGCCAAGGCGTTGGAACTCATTGTGGACAACTTCAAAGTCATCACTGACTGCCGCAAATCTCTTAGTGAGAAGGCCCAGCAAGTCAGTATCACTGTCACATGGGTGCCAGGACACCAAGACATCGAGGGTAACTGCATCGCAGATGAGGTGGCAAGAAACCACATACATCCTCCAGACAGGGAAGGAACGGGCATGCCGTTGGCTTCCTTCCGGTTTTTGGCACGCAACATTCGCGGTCTATGATACAGCAACACTGGGAAGCAAGGCTCATCTGGCCAGTCCTTGACGCAAGAAGGACTTCTAAGCATGTAAAGCTGAGGCGAACCGAAATCTCCGTGGCTGGGGCACTTACGGGTCACTTACTTTGAAGGCATCCCATATAATGGCTTCTGCAGAAGCTGCAGAGACGAAGCGGAGAAGAAAAGTGTGGAGCACCTTCTCTGCTACTGCCCGGCACTGAGCAGGTGTTGATTACTTACTCTAGGGAAACTTTTGCTAACCGATCTCTCGGAAGCAACCAACATAGATTTCGTGAGTTTAATAAGATTTTTAAATACCAGCGGGTGGCTAAGGGTAGACTAAATTTTGAGATTATACGACATCACTATGGGCACCCTAATCACAACAATAAATGCTAGCACAACATGGACAAAGATCGGAATTCGGACGCGGGCAGACTAATATCAGACTAAACTGCATATCAAATAAACAATCTTTATATATTATAAAAAATAAATATAAATCTAAAATACAAAAATAAGTTTAAATGTAGTAAAATTAAATACGGGTTTTCAGAAAATGCAGTCATAACTACTTTCAGTTTTGAACCGTCGAGACTTAATGATTTTAGATTTCTTTACCTGCCATAACTTCCTTTTGATAACTGCTCCGACATAAGACCGGCTTTCCATGTGAGCTTGCAAAAAAAATTCTATTTAACTGAGAAACAAACGAATTCTTTTTAGAAAACTAAGTAGGCCTAATACAAGTAATATAAACTGTTTTTCAAATTGAACGCAACTGCCATTAGAAAAATTACATATTTTTGAAAAACATAAAACTTTTCTCTCCACCATTTGCATGCCGCTTTTTTTGTCGCCGTTATTATTCATCTAGATTTCAATTCATTCAATATACACGTATATATATTACAATTAATTATTTATGTAAGAAAACAATATTAGAAATTTTTAAATTTCACACTCTCGATGTCGCACTACACCAACTTTATATTAGTTCCACGATCATAAATCTAATTTTTAAGCAAGTTTTTTTTATTCTATTCGAAATCTTTCGAATCTTTCCTTATTTTTCCATATTTTCAATGTTTTTTTTTTGTGCAGCGCAAATAATTTCATAGTAAAAAATCGGTTCAAAAACTCTTACCCCCCTGGACTAAATCCTGGCTACGCCCATGGGTTAGCAACGTCTATTTTATTAGCTGTTATACTTTTTCAGATCCTTGCATTTATTCATACTGATCATACCTCTTTCTTATGCTACACCCATTCTCACTACGCTAAGATACCGATATCCGCTCTTAGTACAGGGTATGATGTTGTAACCACACAAAAAGAGAGATAGTCCTGACATCTTGGAGGCTATGCTGCCAGACGGCGAAATGCTTTCGCTGGAGGGTTAGGACATATCGGGGCTGCCTAGCATAATTTTCGGCATAGCTCTGTGCCTGTGGCTTACTTACTTACTTCTTTTTTAGCTTAGTGGCCTGGAGTCCATTAGATGTGAACTCTCTTTCAGCCATCTAGTGCATTCATATCTTGTATTGTATTCCTTACCGCAAACGCAATTTAAGACTTGAAGAATGGAGTTAAGGTTGATGTGAGGATAACTTAGCCACCTTCCACTAATGTTCTTGGAGATGCTGCACTGATCTGGTGGCTTGTATGATGAGTTCCCCACAGTAGACTGTTGCTTCTACCCCTTCTGCTTTGGAGCCACCCGTGTATTTGTCGATCAGTTCTGCTTAGCTTTGAAATGGCACAACTAAATGGAACTCTGTTATAATCTGCAACATGTGTACCAAGTACAGAACAAAGTTAACATTTTAGTGGACTAGCTAGCTTGCTGACAACCTCTTACCTCTCAATTCTAGTCAAACTTGCTGTCTAAGCCTAAGCCTATTTGATACAACGCCATTACTTTTGCTGTCTGGATACAGCATATAAAAGATACATTTTACTTGAGGATAAAAAAAACCTCTTTTAATATTTTGATCTGATAATTGTTTAAAAGACTACATATTAATCACTCTTTCGCAGAACCCTCACCACTCTACGATAATAATCATTATCATGAGGAATGTCTACGCTGCAATTCGTGTGGTTTAAACTTGACTGGTCCGAACCAGAAACGCGCTCGAAGGTTCAAGGTAAGTCTCAAAAATATCCCCTCCACTCCTTGAAATCTGTTGCTGAACTTCGAAACTCGCTACAATATATGTTGAGCTGATTTGATGGATGTATTGGCCATGTCCATTAACAAACAAAGAAAGAAAACAGCACAGTTCGATGTGGGCTCTCATGAATCAGAGTTTAATCGAAATTATATGGCAGCCGCGTTGATGCAAAGATGAATAATTTAAGCACCAACGCATATACATTTATATCTGCAGAATAGCACATAAAGAACGCAGCGAAATGAAAATAAAATCATATAGCAACTTTCTCGTGCCACTCCCCGACGCGCGGGCTCACACTTGCCCGTACATCTACACTTACCCGTACACCTACACCTACTTATGCTTATACTCATGCTCTCTGTCTCCTTCCATAGAACCAAATCCTGTGCGACCTGCATTTCGCCGACGTGGCCCTAATGGAGTGCTCCGATTTCATGCAACAGCTGCGGAGCTTCAAGCCACAATCGCTGGGCTGCGCGGTCGCCAGGCGCAAGAGCTCAACGACGTTAATATTTCCACTGCCGCCGCAGGCATGTTCAGGTATGTAGGAACTTTTTATTAAAGCGTGGCCGTTGAGTGTGAATGTAAATGTGAATGTGGCTGTGGGTGTGAGTCTGAAGCTGAAGCTGAATCTGAATCTGAGGCCAGAGTTGGGGCACACCACCGCGCGTGTGTGTGTGTGCATCTGCTTAAGACGCACTCAGGAAGCAGGCAACACTTTTTTACTATACTCGTATGCGTACGTGAATATGTGAATATGCACGGGTGTGGATGTGTATGAGTATGCGTGTGCGTGTGCGTGTGCGTGCGACTGTCGGCGCCATCACTATAATTCAAATGAGATTTGCGCTCACAGCAATCCACACACAGACACACGCACACACACACACACACACACGCACACTCATATACCCATCCACAGACAATCAACCGACTGTCATGTCTACAAGTTGGAGAATGCTTGGCATTTGCGCAATAAAGTTGTTCAAACATATTTGAATTTCGGGTTGCAAACACACGCATACACGCACACCAGCACCAGCACCAACACCATCATCAGCACCAGCACCGGCACAGGCCGCCATTTTTTCGCTGACTAAACTTTCAATTTGGCTTTTATTTTACTTCATTTGTTCATTGCGTTGCATTGCCTTTTTCTTCAGTGGGCCAAGTTTTCGTTCCCCTACCTTAAGCATAAAAAACAACATAAAGCTTAATAAAAAATAAAAAGGAAAATATGAAAACGGCACAACATTAATTATTTGTATTATTTAGTGAGATGACTAATACATAGTGTATACTTTCATATATATGTGTTTCAGAAATTAGTTTGAATTTAAGAAACTAAAGACCGATTTATTCCGCAAATTAGACAATAATTCATTTCCATTGCATTTGGCAAACATTTTCACAGACATCAGCACAATGATTTTGCCTTCCAGCATAATTTGAAGCTGAGAACAGGAACGGAAACAAAATGTCCAATCTTATTCAAATTTGGGTTTTTGAACAAGAGATGCTTCTTAGATGCTAGTACAATCCTAACTGCAATTTATCTAATTTTTCAAAGACTATAATTGTCTGGTGAGAGGTAACTGATATGTTTCTAATGTGGGATTAAAGGAGTTAATCGACAAACTTCTATTGCTGTAATTGCTGTTTAATATTTTAAGTATTTGATCATTAAATGGGGCCTTGCATAGTTCAACTATTGTTCCACACTAGACTCTGTGTCGAATCACAGCGCAATGATTAACCAATAAAATAATTGCAGTCTTATTACTCTGGAGGTGTGGTCTTTTATTAGAAATGTAAAACTGTCGGGTTAATTATTAATTAAATTAATTACACAACATTTTTTGAAAACAAATTCAATGGGCTCACAAAAGTTAATTGTACATGTGTCTATAATTCTGTTTAGTTTAGTTAGTAAATTGGTGGTCCCTTTTATTCTTTATCTCGAACTAGAAATATGACCCACCTATAGGGAAACGGAAAAGCAGCAGGATCAGGCGGGCTTCCCGTCGGGCTTCAATCAACCTCCCTAATACTGTGAATCTGGCTAAACAAAAGCTTGGCTGTGAGCAGGAAAGGAAAGTAGTCTTGAACTTATTTTGTCGTAATGGCTAAATGGAGAGGAATACCCCCTCTTTAACATGTCGTATTAAATAGTGGCCTCTCTGTTACTAGAACGGAGGAGGCCGGCTATTAATAGCATTTCCTGAAAAGAACAAGCGAGCTCTCGCGAATGTTGCACACATACTTATAATATGAAAGACGCGCTGACTTGGAACAAATTGATTTTAACTAAAATGTCATACGAGTATTAAGCAGCGCAGATCAATTTGAAATTGATATGCATTTGCAGAGTGTTGGAGCGACGGCCTTCAAAGTCCGCCGCCAGGGCCATCACATCCTTAATGCCTCACTCCACCAAACAGGACTTTTAAAGTATTTAAATGCCTGGAAAGTCACCTCTGCCTTCAAAATGTCTTACTTGTATATGCAATTTTTTAAATGGATTGAGATTGGAGAGATTGTGAGGGCAACTCGACTAGTAGGCTTTGTATAATTGTCCATCTGACACGCTTAATCCATTGGCAAATCCTTATTCGACCAATATACATTTATCAAATTGCTTAGGGATGAACTTAAATATTCTTTGGCGAACCGAATTCGACTTGTTTACACTTGCAAAGGAATTACCGAGTGGTCCACATAATCGTTTCTTTTTTGAAGTTAAAAATAATAACAATAATCTGTTTAATTGAATAAGTATTATTGGATTATTTGAAAGCGCAAAGAATTCCAATATTTATGAAACACGATCGAATTCATTTGGCCATATCTCACGAATGGCTTGCACGATATATGCCTTAAGAGCGTAAATCGTTAATTGATTGTTCGGAATCGCAGCTTCGATGTATCGCCGAGACGGCTGATGGCACGATAACCAACTATGTTTGGGTTTGCAGCGCTATCCTGCTGAAACCCAAGCCCAAAACTTCAATTCCCAGCCACAAAAAAAAACCGGAAAGGCGCTTCCAGCAGCATTTTTAAAAACCGCAACAAAATGGAGCACACTATACAAGTATATGTCGCCGAGAGAAAGGCATGGCTGAAATTGTTAACAATGTGAATACTCCACTTTTTATTGCTGCAAGCAAATCAGTTCTTTAAGCGACGCCGACTACACCACTACATCATAAGCTGTAAGGTGTTATATAATCAGACAAAGATCGTATAGAAATATATTCATGCTGTAATACATAGCACTATGCCAGTGGACTCCTTGGGGGCTCAGAACCCAGAATCGCAAACACAAATGAAATGAGCTGCAGTGCACCTCCATTCTCTTCTTTAATTGCTCACAGCTAGCGGCGAAAAGTGCACTCGAGTATATTTGAGCGCTATTGTTGTTGGCATTGCCTTTGTTCCTACATATAGTAGTACAAACGAATATACGAACACGATGCCCCCATCTGTCACTGCGAGTGTGCGGAAATGTGGTGTTTAAAATGGTTTATCAAAAGCTGCAATAAAATCAGTATCTAAGCGAAAAGCGCCAATACTCGCACACTCACGCATCACACACACACAACAACAACATTCGAGGGCAGAGTACACTGCATGTGTACAAACGCACGAATATACCTTCGAATATAAATCCTTCGGTTGTGTTATTTAAGCCCTCGCCTTCTTTGGATCTGATAAACGCCACTTACAACACTCATACTCGTACATACAAACATACATACATACGTACGTATGATACGTATACGTATGTACTATATATACAATATGTATGATTAAGGATAAATATGGCTACAGAAACAACAAAAAAGCAGGAGAAACACACACAAAGCAGGCACGCAGCCAGTCAAGCCATAAAATAGGTGAAATAATAAAACGAAAATAATCATTTTGCACGTCTATCTGCCGGAAGTGGATGGCTATCTGACGTATACGCCATGTAGTCTGCCCAGGCCACGTATGAATGCATAAACACGTGCACACATAGCGCCTCCACTGACCAGTGAAGTACGAGGGGGGAAAGTAAAAAGAAAAAAGAAAACAAGGGCGACGGAAATAGAGACAGAGGCAGAGGCAGAGACAGAGCTAGAGGCCGAGGCCGAGACCGAGACACTGACGCAGAGACCCATAAGAAGGAGGAGCGGCGGATACATGAAATATTTGAACGTGACAATTAAATTTATGAAATTATATACAGAGCCAGTACCAAAACGAGCACATACTATACAACAAAAACAAGAACCACGGTGTAATGGTTATTTCCGCTGCTTGGCCATATTTTGCGCCTCGTTGCGATGGAGCCAAGTCAAAAGGCAAGCCCAAAGGCCGTTGGTTATAGGCTGTGGGGGCCATACCCGTACAAATAAGTACTACGTATGTATGTTCATAAGTATGTACTATATGTATGAGAAATTGTCTTGAGAAAATGAGCGCGTGACTGGTGCGAAAATACTTGTACGACAAGACATTAGCAGAGACAGCAGGAAAGGGAAACGTGGCAGGCGGAGTGGAAGCTGTTCGAGGAGCGTATTCCTAAGGGAACGGCGTATGCCAGACTTCGGCTTATCTAGAGATAAAAGCGCATTTAGCTTTGCAAAGCATACGATTAAAATATTGGCCAGGCACGATTCACCCCTTTCTCAATGTCGTCCTTCATAATTAATATTATTAAAGCAAAAAAACTAAATGAAAAACAAAACTGACACTAGCGGGAACCCTCAATCAAATATTCCCACATATGGCAGAAGAGAGTACTTGTATATTTTTTATGAGAAAAAGCAGACAGGGCTGCTGTATAACAAGCTTCAACGCAAATTATAGCTTAACCCATTAATTGAATTTTTGATTTATTTTAATGATATTTCTTTACAATTTATACTCTTAAAATACATTTATTAATCTAACTTTTTGATAGGGATTAATAGCACTATGTAGAGTGCACATCTTAAAGCGCCGTTAATTAAAGATCGAAGCATATCAATATCTCGATATTTTCCCCCATTCTTAAACAATTTAAACATACATACTTCATTTAGTAACTTAACATCACAAAGAAATATGCAATGGCCCAACCCTTTACAGCAGTTAATGTGTTAAAAGATTGACAAATTAATGAACGAGTTAAATGTTCCTTTCGTTAGAGTGAGATTTGAATAATTAAGAACTTTTTCTTTGATATCCTATATAACTCAACAGCAGTTAATGTCTTCTAAGATTGACAAATTAACGAAATCGGTTAGATTTTTTTTTCTAAAAGTGTCACTTAACTGAAATGATTTTTGCCTTGAACAAAGAAATAATTAGTCACTTAAATTTGGCTATAATTTGTCGTAAGCAGATTTCCAAGTCTTATGACTTGTCTTGTCAATTTTAGACATACACGCACTCATCTAATTTAAATATGCAATATTTTCTAGATAATTGCTTAAGAAATTTACGCGCAAGTCAAAACCTTCAGCCACCTTGAGCGGTCCCTTTGCAATGCCCACATTGTCACATAATTTATATTTTTCTATTCTATTCGCTGCTATCATTTTGTCCCAGCTTTTTGTTTTTTCGTTGTTTTCGTTTTTTGTAATAAATTTATGGCCGCGCACTCGAACGCTTTTATATTTTTCCGTCCATTTACCAGCTCTTATGTACGCTTATGTCGTTCTTTCTGGTCTTTGCTTGCCATATTAATATTTTAATATGTCGTCACGCACATTTTGTTTCAATACATAGTAGGAGCGTTAAACTTGAAAAATGGTTTTAATATTTCTACATAAATATACTCACGTAGTTTGGAAAGCATATCATAATTATTTGAGGCATCCATCAGCTTTTCTACAGCCACTCTTTATTTGATTTTCATTTCACTTCTAATGAAATCAACAAATAATGTCCTTTTCAGCATCGAGATTGAAACCCGTTTCTTTATCAATTAAGATTGGGCAAACATCAGCTTAAGCCCTAAATTGACCGCAGGACTGAGGACTTTTTCTATACAATACATAGTATGAGCGTTAAACTTGCAAAATAGTTTTAATATTTCTACATAAATATACCCACGTAGTTTGGAAAGCATATCATAATTATTTAAGCCACCCATTAGCTTCTCTCCAGCCGCTCTTTATTCGATTTTCATTTCACTTCTGATGAAATCAACAAATAATGTCCTTTTCAGCATCGAGATTGAAAACCGTTTCTTTATTAACATTAGCACTAAATTGAGCAAACATCAGCTTAGGCCCTAAATTGACCGCAGGACTGAGGACTTTTTCTATTTGATTTTCAGTTGCTTTGGCAACTATGTACGAAGCCTCTGCCGTTGATCCTATTAAGTAACAAAATTGCTGGCGTACTCAAGTTCTGGACATGATGTGCATTCTGCTTTCAATTACGCTTAATGAAAACAACATAAGCAACAACAAAAAACAACACAAACAGCCACCACTTTCATCTTCGGACCAACCAAGTTTCCCTCTACCGCTGGTACATTCAAAAATTACGGATTTTAGCTTTGGCATTGCTGTTGTTGTTGTTATTATTGTTCCTGCTGTTGCCGTCGCCTTTTTCATAAACTGCATAAAATATGTAAACATTTTCAAGTTTTCCATCATGAAGTTTTTTGAGTGGAGCTGTAAGGAAAACTGCAATAACTTTGAACGTGCATACGGTCTTTTAATTGAGAATGAAAGGAGGTCACATTATGCGTAAACACAATTTTAATTCCAATTAAGCAGTCTTGACAAAAGCGTTTAATGGAAATTGCACGCATGTACAATTTTAATTTAATGAAGGAAAATTAGTCCTGGCAGTATATATGTAAACACAAGTATACTCAAATAAAAAATTAATTGATTGATTGATTCACAAGTCCGAGAAAGGATAGGTTACCCCCACTCCACCGCCATTATTGATTTTTCATAGCTCCCGTAGGTCATGGTACTGTGGTATTTTATGGGCAAGTGACTTTCTATTTTTCAATTCTATGAGAATTCCCCTTTTCTGATCAAACGGTAAAATTATTTGATTCTTTTTTGCTATTGGTGTAAGACTAATGAATACATTTTGTTATGCCTCTTCGTAACAAAACCAACCAACCAATCAACCATCCATCAGCCTTAGAAAATGTTTGCACAATGAGAAAAATGCATCTCTCAATCTCGCCCCAATTGCAATTATTTTCGAGAAATATACATACATTTAATTTTTATACCCTGTATCCGTAGGGTAAAAAGGGCTTATTAGGTTTGTGCCAAATACAGGGTGCGCCACCTTTTATGTCGGTATGCAAGCACTGAACATCCTTGAAAATAAACAACCGATTTTCAAGTATGAGATATTTTTATTTGATTTGGTTCTGTACAATTTCTTGAACTGAGGTTTTCAACACTGGTCTACTCAAGTCAATCGGTTCACTAATGATAAAGCCACTCAATATCCACACACCGACATAAAAGATGGCGCACCCTGTATGTAACAGGCAGAGGGAGCCATCTCCTACCCCATTAAGTATATACATATGTACATATATTCTTAATCAGCATGACGAGACGCATCGATCTGGACATGTCCGTCCGTCTGTCCGTCTGGATTAACGCGAGGATCTCAAAAACTATAAATGGTGGAACAACCAAAGTTGGTATCTGGATTCTCCTAGGTCCGAGAAAGGACGAGATCATTTTATTTTTTTGAATTTTCCTCCGCTACAGAATTTCACCTGTACAACCCACATTTCAAAAGCTATTTAAACCAAACATTGCACACGTAATCTATGTACAATTATCTACTTCCGAATCGGTCAATTCTAGGAAAGTTATTAGCGAAACAATTTCACTCCGGTTCTACGCCCACAAGCAGCACTATCAAGTTCGCTCTTCTCTTCTTCTTTTTACTTCTGCTGAGCGCCGAAAGTTTGGCTGGGTACAGGGTACCCAGCCCGACTGTAGCGTTATCTCTTGTTTTATTTAATTTCTATAATTATTCTACACAAATGTACAGAGTATTTCAAAGTCGGGAAACCCAACTTTGGCTATCTCCAAAGATTTCAACAGGAACTCTGCAACTATCCTTAATTGAGCATTTGGAGGATAAAACATAACTATTAAAAAGGCGTATTTTATATACTTTGAATATACTAAATAGTAAACAAAGGACTCATCAATTTAAAACAATAAATTTGCCAAATAATTGTAATGGAAGTAAGCAAAGTGCGTAAATCCTTGAGGTCCGCTGTCCGCGAATATAAGAGTATAATGGGAATTAATGGGAAGTGCGTTGTCCGAGCCATAAAGTGTCCAATTTGTGGATATTACCCTTTCAGGACCCTGTACCCAAACGGTAAAAGGGCATGTATGTATGTAGCACATAGAAGGGCATTCCATTCTTGTTTCAAATCAAAAGAAGATCAGCTTAACACTTTAAATGGCCTCTATTATGCTTTTATCGTTATCCAAAATATGAACCAGAATGTGCTTCCTATTTCAGCGTATGCCAATTATTTAGAGTTCTTAAAAATAAATGCGGCTAAGCGAATAGCATTCGAGAAATGTGTGCGATTCAATAAGCAGAACTCCTTTTCCAATATCCAATCCAGTCATGGACTCCAGCCCAGCTCACGAAACACGACACACGAACTCTTAACCAGCTGCTCCTCGAATCGCCATATATTGTCGTCAAGTACTGGCGTTAGCAAATCCGCCTTGTTTTCTGGTTCACGGTAGTGCTGCATCTGGGCCAGGGCTGTGGATACGTCCAGAGGGGCACATGAGTTCTGCCAGCTCAGGGGGAAATGGTTATGTAGTGTGGTCGCAAAAGCTGTCGCATGCAAGCACTTAGCGGCTAATGAAGGATGCAGGTGCTTCGCCACACGCCGCACATGTTGCAGCATATAGAAGTGTTTCGGTAGTGTTTCATTATAAGGCGGCTTCTCTCTGTACTCTGGAAAGTAAACATTGCGAAAGCAGTAACTGGCCCAAGCCTGGCAATTTGAGTTGCCACCGAAATCATCTGTAGATTCTAGGTGGTGCACCAGCGATGTCCAGTTGCGAATTGTGCCCAACGGCATGATCACCTCGTCCAAATCGAAGCCGCCAATAAAATCATACTCGTACAGATTTCGGTAGAAACAGTCGTTGTACGTTAGAACCTCATGTACCCTCTTGTTCAGATAACTCGTGGCATCCACACCGGGCAGTTGCAGCATGCGGAAACGCCGAAGCTTCAAAAACCCATGCTGCACATATCGGAGCAAGGTCCGGGTTGTGTTGGGCAGCAACGCGCCATCGTCTACGTAGGCTGTAACGCGCTCCGCGCCTAGCAGTTGCATCAGCTCGAGCCACTCTACGATGCGGGCTGAAATATCCCGATGCGGATAGTATAGGTCCTTAACGCAAACGGCAAACCGCAGGGCGTGACTGCGCCTCGGTGCCTCGTAAATAACGTGCAGCGCATTGGTGGCCCTTGCGCAGCCATCGGTGCCATGCACCAGTGAAACCAATTGTGGCACCCGCTGCATCATCTGGCCCTTGGGCACGGGGCAGCTTAGTAGTGTGGGGTAGATGTAATTAGGCCCTTGACCCCACGAGTCATACCAAATGACTTTGTGGTCGCGCACCTGCGAAATAGACGGTCTGCTGCTGCCGTCAAACCACATCTGGCAGTAAGTGGGCGGATACGGGCCATATATTGTATTGATCATTGCCAGCACAGCTACCATCGGCTCAAGTCGACGATCATAGTATGCACCAAATAAGTAATAGCTGAGGTTTCCTTCGCGCATCCTTTGGAAGTTTTCTCCCTCAAACAGCAGATCTGCATACCGTGGAAAGGGCGCGCACTTATCACTAGAGAGAGGCGAGCCTTGGCCTCTATTCGATTGCAACAACCTTCGCAGCGACTGCCAGCCATGGTCATCATCATCAACAACATTATCCGACTTTTCCTGAAGCGGAGCAGTTGCGGGCTTACTGTATGCTTTCTTGATGAAAGGCGCACGAGCTGTCCTTCAACAAAAGGGGAATATGATGGATGCCGTTGCCCCACTGCCAATGTGAGCACTCACCTGAGCGTCGCACAGCTCCTCTGTGCCGCCCAAGGTGCACGAGTAAAAGGACGACAGTGTAGCAGGCGATAATGAGCACCAGGAGCTTCAAAAGGCGCAGGAACTTTGACACCATCTTCAACAATTAGCGGTGCACAGAGAGAGACTGAGCCCGCTCAACCGCCAACTCGGACTATTCTATAACTTAACAAACACTATGTATTTGCTATGTACTCGACTATATTATCAGTAGCAGATGCATTTACTTGAGTGCATATTTAGGTAGAGGGGCATGTATTTGCTATCGCTGACATAATTGCAACATGAAAACCTTACGAGAGGGTCGCAGATATAAACTTAACATTAAATAACTTTAATGAATGAATGCAAGAAATGGAAAGCAAGCGAAAAAGCTAACGTCCGCTGCCCCGAAATACTCTATACCTATCTGTACAATAATTAGAGAAAATTAAATTTATGACTTCAGAAAATTGAAATCGTGATACCTACTTGGATATTCGAACTTACATCAGAATTGTGTCTATGCATGCAGTATGCAGTAAACAGTTGACAGAAAGCAACAACAGCTGCGATCAGACATATAGTATTAGTATAGAAAATTCCATGAATTACAGAAATTACGGAAAATCTTTATTTTATTTAATGAATTTATTTTTTTAATTACTTAAAGTAGTTTTTAAAAAACCGAAGCATTTTGTAGAAAGGAGTACAGGGTATTAACGTGTTGGGTACTTTACACTAGTATTAGTATTCCTACCTTGTTTTTTGTATTGCTCAGATTTCTTAACTACATTTGGTGTTAATGGAAGCCTCGCAGAATTCTAAAATTTCAATCAAAATCGGTGCACTCCATCAAGTTGTTGCCTGAAAACGTCATGTTCGTATATTATTTTATTTATCAAGTTAGGCAATTGTTGTTGACATTTTCATATTTGCAAATTATTACATTTATTTTCGAATAAAAGAAATAAAATTTCGTAACCATTTTTTATATTTCATATTTGCATTAATTTCTCTTATAATGCGTATTTCTATTGTAAAGTACATACATAATTAGCGTTGTTGCCATAACAGAAACCAAACAGGTATAAGGAAAGATAAATCGATACAAATTATTATTTGAACTATATTTGTATTCATTAGGTTGACAGTGGCATTCTAATTTTCATTTTTGCATTTCTATTTTCTAATTATGCTCTCACTACGCTTTTCAGCGAATTTCGTCGCAATCAAAAATATCGTCCCCCCAATGCCAAACTGGGAGCCTGTTCATTAATGTTTTAGCCCATAGTCCTCGTAAAATGTGAACTTATAGACGGACTTTGATAGCAAATATGTACATACATATGAGTACATATAGTTCATATGTCAAAAATTATTGCAAGCCCAGCACTTTGGCGGTAACACCATACTATAGTATAAGATGCCGCAAAGAGGCGATCAACTTTATGCCTGTTTACATTGCAAAACGTTGCCGTGGAAGAGGCAGAATATACGTGTACTATAGTAGTGGAAGGGGCAGGATACATAGGAGCAGATGTAAAGAAAGGTGCTAGCTGCTTGTGCTAGCCATAAAAACTTTCATGTTTTAAGCGTGGCACGGGCAAGCATATCAGACGACCGACGGCCAACGGCCAAAAAGCCCTCAACCCACAACTAACAAACAACTGGAGTAGATAGCTGACATTATTATGGACAACGTAGTTGCGTCGACGGCGCGACCGAAGTTGTTAACGCGGCAATGACTAAAATGACAAAAGAACTAACTCGACGAGCTGTCACCTAGGTAGATAAATGGGGTGGAGAGCAGGGGAGTGGACTGGAACTTAGACTGGGGACATGGCACTAAGGTGTACTGGTGAAAATGTGAAACGATAGAACGGATGAAGGCGTTCTGCCAGCTCCTCTGCATTAAATTATTGATTCGATTTCGCGCGCGCGTCTCAATTTTATTGCGGCAGGCTTTTGGGATGAATGAATTGTAGCCACAGCCATTGTCAAAGTTTGCGCGTTAGCCATCTGTCTTTCTGTCTTTCTGTCGACTCGCCTTTCTGTCTGCCACTCTACTATATGCTGCAGCCCTTCAATTTTTTATGTATGGCCTTATGTGTGTGTGTGTGGGTGTGCATAGCCACGCCCATAGAGAAAAGAAAAATATTACAACCACACGGTAAACACAAAATTTATGTTCCACCCAGTGCACACTGGCCGAAAAAGCAAAGGTTGGGTCATAATTCCAAAAAAAAAAAAACAATTTTAAAATACAGTAAAAATCTCTTAGTGTTTCTAAAGAATATAGACAAAGGGACAAAAATACAAGTGTCAATTTTTTTTTGTGCAGCCCTGGTATTATTGCGACGCCCTTAAAGTCAGATGATTTAAAGCTTCATTACTTTGAAATTACGTTGCTGCTACTGAAATTGTTTTTTTTTTTTATTAAATTTTAAACGTTTTGTCTTTGTTAATAAACACTGCTTTAAAATGGAAAACACCGATAAAGGTATGTAGTTTTTTAAGTGTAGATGAATGTTTGTGTTATGCTGTGTTCGGGCTTTGCTTTTAGGTCTTATCGTCGCGTTGTTTTGTTTTTGAAAATCGAACTTACATATACTTGTAAGTTACGTGTTTTATGGAGTTAAAATACGCAATATTCTCGATCCTTCTCGAGACTAGTAATGCATCCGTGTTCAGTAACATGTGTTTAACATAATGGAACTAATTAGTGTGGAGATGTTGCAGACAAGTTTAAATTTAGTCATGAGAAAATGCTTGAGATTTGGATTGAGGTGGACGTAAAACTGAAGCGATTACCAATTGGGTGTTTGGAAAGCTCATTAGAAATATACAGCCAGACAAGAAAACACAAATTTTAAGACAAATATCTAAATTTCACCTCATACATTTACAAATTTATGCCAAAATCCCAAAGGAAAATATTAAAATTTCGGACCCGTTAATATCGAGCCTTCCATTAAATAAAAACCTCAAGATAAACAAGTTGCCGTCAAAAGCGATTGCCCTTTTGGCTGAGCCAGCCCTTATAATAAAATAAGATAATATTAAATCTGATATAGACTCGGATTCTGATTATGAAAAAATATAAATATAATGTAAAAAATATATATATACAATTTAACATGGTTAATATGGGAGATAAGATTGGGCGTGCTCTTATCAACCTAAAATGTTTCCCATATTTTTATATTTATTAGTCCGGATGAGCGCCAGGATTTCGGAAACGGCTGAGCTGACATATTATTTTATGCCCCAACTTTTGCTTTTTTGGCCAGTGTGCAGTGCGTGTACCTATAGTGCTACATTCTGCGATGTATGTGATTGTGTACGTGTATGTGTCTGTGAGAATGGGAGTGTGCGTGGGTGTGTATAAGTAGGTACTAACATAGTCATAGGGTTTGTCGCCAAACAAAACAGAAGGACTAGCCAGGCCAACCAAAAAACGCATTGCAAGCGTTCTTTTCAATTAGGCTTTCGTTTTAAGTAGGGATTGTAATCATTATAAGTGTTATTATAAAAATTACAAAATAATGATTATTTTTTAATTGTATTCATTCGCTCATATTGAGGGTTACTTTACCACTTCACTAATAATCATTAATTTCGAGAAAAAAATAAAACATATAAAATAATGATTATTCTTTACGTTTTTCTTTTTTCTTTGATCAAAAATAAACTCAAATTGTAATTGTCTCTGCCCTTTTCATAGGGAATAAGGACAAAATGTATATATATTCTTAAACAATAAGTCAAGACAAACCCGTACAATACAGTTTTGGGCTAAAACAAAACATCCTTAAAAAATATTTTCTGGCAAAATTACGGCTTGAGTTTCATTTTTGATCAAATAAATAATCAAAAATATAACTTGGCGAGCAATCGTAACACTGTGTATTTAAGGGTATATTCTCTGTATTCTTAGAAGCTCACTGAAAGGCAAATGAAAAATGTTAAAGTAGTTTTGTTCTGTATTAAGATTCCTCAGACCTCAGCTAAAGAGATTCATTATATTTTGGGGATGGAACTACGACCATAATGTTTTAAGGTTTGCACAATTAATTGAAGTGATTGGTAACGATGGTAGCGTTGTTGACTGCGTCAGCTACTTATTTTCGATTTCAGGACCTAGCCCGCTCAGTCCCATCCCACTTCACAGACTTTTCACAAAAAGTCCCGTGTATGCTCATACAGTTTTGCATATCATGGCGGCCTGCACATTACGACCGATGGTATTTCCATTGTTGTAGCTGGTTTGGCAATGGAACTGTTGGGAGCGGGGGTGTAGAGCCAGGCTGAAGAAATCATAAATCTGTTGCTTGTTGGTGGCATTGTTGTTGCCGTAATTGAAGCAATGACGCACGCAATTTTTGCAGTGGGGCACGGCTCTGAGGCTCTAGCCCAACGCTGGCATTTACATCGATGTGCCGGCAAGCCTATTCACTCGAAAGTAATTTGTTTTCATAAGTCGCATTCATGGAGAAACGGTGGCACCCCGGGAGCCGTCGTCAAGTGAAAGCGTGCAAAGTCAGGCGTTAAGAAGTCGTTTAAATTATTCAGCGCTAGATATTACTTCTGACGAATGGGCTACACGCATAGCTTCTGCAACTACTCTGACAATGACTGCCCAATGCCCGCTGACAGAATACAGCAGCTTAGATGTCTTCCATTTAGGCAAATCAAATTTATCAGTGCAACACAATTATAAAGGCACTCATTCGCGAATGGTATGGGGTATGTTTTAAACTTCTTTGCATTAAATTTAATCAAATTTTCTCTAAAATTTCGGAAGAAGTTGTACTGCAAGCAATAAAAGTGTGTTTTCATATATCCTGTATCCGTAGGGTAAAAAGGGTAAATGTGTTAGGTAAGTGGAAGGTTTGTAAAAAGCAGAAGACCCCAAAATACTTTTTAAATTCTTAATCAGCATGTCTGACCATCTGTCCGTCCGTCTACCCGTATGTCCGGATGAACGCCTGGATTTCGGAAACGGCTGCGCTGACATTTACCAAGCTCGGTTTGTAGACTCTCCTTATTTTCAGGCAACATAAGCTCATTGTTTTTTTTTTAATCTTCTCCCCTTGTCCACAATTTCAAAGCTACTATACATACAATAAACTG